CTTTTGTGTCAGGACAGAAAAGCTTTCAGCCAGTGAGAGTTGCCATAGATCTTTTCTAAGGGCCCCATCTATGCTTCCTACTCAGCGAGAATTTAAATGAATGTTGAATAATAAAAGCATTTCTCTTCCCTCTCTCTTTTCCAACAGTAGGAACGCTGGGGGGAAAAATATCACAAAAGTTTGGGGAAATAAATCTTGCACTTTCACTCTCTCTCAAAACTCTCGCACTGGGAAACGCGCATTTCCTCTAACCTGCCCCATAACAAGGACCAATCTCTTACTGAAAGGGGGAGTGTAACTGGTGGATTTTTGAAAACTTTCTTTTCTTAAAAACCTAATTCCTGCCTCTTTCAAGTCTGAAGCTTAAATTCCAACCTTCGCAGGAGAGGGAAAAATGAAAAGGGAGCGACGAAGCGAAATGAAAGAGGGGACCAAGCAGGGCATCGAGAAAGTGCATCTTTCAAATCTTTACCTTTGCAGGATTATGATTTGAAAAACCTGCAAACACCCAAACGGTCTTCGGCTTTTCTAAAAATAGGGATGAATCGTTCCAGTCTGCTCTTCTGGCCCAGAAAGTTACAACGCCCTAGATTAGAGACTTTGGCAAACCTTAAAAGATAGAGAAAGCATTTAGAAATGCTCCTGAGAATTTCCTCCCTTCCTTTTTCACTTGTTTGCAGTGCCCGTTGGTAAACATGGCAATAACTATGCAGGAGGGTAATGGAGCACCGGAGGAGGAGAAACGTCTGAAGTTTTCTTAGCTACAGAATCCTGTGCTGTCAGAGGGTGCCGGGGAGAGATAAAATTGATTTTTAATTGAATGTTGGGGATACTGGGAGTAGAAGGAAAAATAGTCTGGAGATAGACAGCATCAGCAGCTTTTGAAGTGAGCCTGCTAGAAAGATGTCCAAGCGCTGGAGAAACTCAGTTTTTCTGGGGTTAGGTGAGTACGTGCCACGTTGCTAGCCCCAAAGGTTGGTGGAAATGGGACATTTGGGCTGAGCGTCTGTTGTTTCTGCTTGCAGAGAAAGGAGGTGTAGGCTGGGTTTTCTCAACCAGTGAGACTGAATCTGGCCCGGGAGGGAAATGGACCGAGATGGGATTTGGGTTTAAGGCTCTGCCTGGATCCTTCTTGTGGCCTTGAACAGCCTCTCGTGGGCTGTTTCTCGGTTTCCCATTTGTAAAACGATGAAATTGCTGAGTTGGCAAGATGTCTTAACAGGATGACAGCTATGTGGGGGCAGGAGGAGGAGACGTTGTTTGGAGCCAGGTTTTAATCTATTTTTTAAGTCTCCAAATTTTTTCCACTTTTCTCCTCCGAGCGGACGATCTGAACACCCCTAAAACTGTCAAACTGTCCTTTCAGGGAGCATTGGCAAGGTGTGGTCTAGCTGTCCCCCTAAGAGGACATTTCAGTCGCAAGACTTCATGTGGGTGGTAGTTCCACAGTTTAGGGAATCGCTGCTCCTAATTTTAGGTACACATCTGTGATGGGGGAGGCACGTTCCTCCCTGAGCAACGTGCTCTTAATACATGTGTTTTGGATTGTGCTGTGCACTGGGGAATTAGGTGATTTCAAAGTCCCAGCACATCTGGAAGCTTCGCAAGAGAAAGACTGTGCCAGAAATCTCAAGAGCTGGGGCTGGAAATGATCAAATGACGATCAGTGACGTTAACCTTCCCTGTTGTGGTTCCTTTGTCTTTGGTTTGGTGGGTCAGCTCTATACGTTTAGCCAGTGGCAGCACCTGGGTCGGGGTTGGGCCTGATTGTAGCTGGATGAGAGACCACCAGGAGTTCTCAGAGCTGTAGGTGAGTCTGGGACATCAATAAAGCAAAGGTAAGTCACTTCTGTACAATTGCAAAGAAAACCTCAGGGACGCCTCTGTGAATTTCTCTCAGCTTGAAGGAGATGTTACATATGGGATGCTTGTGAAGGTGCCCCAGCCCTGGTCATTGCAAGAAGTCCAAGGCCTGGGTCAGAGCTGGCTAGGATCTGGGGAGAAGAAATCTAGGTCGGAGAAGGTGAACTTAGTCTGTGACTTGGAACGATCCCCGTCACTCTCGCAAATTTATCATAAGGATCCAGCTGGAGGTGAAGAACCCACCTCTGGCACCCTGGGCATTCAGGAAGAGGGGAGAGTTGGACTGGAGTGGCGTATAAAGCAGAGCCAAAAATGAAAACGCGGCACGCTTGTTCTAAACTACAGAGCAGTTTATAAGGGAGCGGGTGAAGCGACGACGGGATGGGCGTCCTACCTCGATGGGAGGAATGAGGGCAGGTTGGCTCCAGTTGGTACGGGAGCCGATTAAAGATGAGAAGATGGCATGGATGCGGGCATTGCGCCAAGACCTGTGGTGCCTGCCTGGTGAAAGAGAAATGCTGGTTATTCTAACAGGATCCAGTTTGACAGAAGAGCCTCGGGGTCTTGCTTTAACAAGGACTTTGGCAACAGGGAACGGCCTGCCTTCATTTCGTCAAAACCCGCTTCCCTTGCTCTCTCTGCCGTTACCGGCTCTGCCAGCAAAAACAGGCGAGTTTGTTTATGGAGATCTCCTTTCAAATTCCTGCTTGGCACTGACGGACGAAGGTGCCGTTGATCTGGGGAGGAAATGGGCAGTTTCTTGGCACCGGTCGCGTTTCTGCATGGCGGGTAGGGCCAGCGTAAGCCACCGTCACCCCTTGCGCAATCCATCGATACGTTAGCAGCTTGCAACCGAACCTGCTTTCTAAAACAACCCCCTTCGGCCCGTCAGTCCCAGCGGAGAGTTAATATTGACCTGGCTTTGCCTTCCAGAAGGGATCATAAAGCAGCTGGCAATAAATTCAGCAAAATTCTCACCACTCCGTAGCAGAAACAAGGAGTCACATTTTACTAAGCAGAAGCTTTCATTTCTTGTACCTTATCCAGAGTTGTGCCGAGCAGGGCATGATGTAAGCAGAATATGGATTTAGGATTTCACACGGGTGAACATAGAAGCAGACTCCTGAATCTGGATTGAGGGTTTAGCACAGTGTTTCTCAACCTTGGCAGCTTTCAGAAGGGTGGACTTCAACTGAATTCTGGGAGTTGAAGTCCACACAGAGCAGTGTTTCTCCACCTTAGCAACTTTAAGGTGAATGGACTTCAACTCCCAGAATTACAGAGCAGTGTTTCTCCACCTTAGCAACTTTAAGGTGAATGGACTTCAACTCCCAGAATTCCCCAGCCAGCAAGGCTGGCTGGGGAATTCTGGGAGTTAAAGTCCACCTTTCTGAAAGCTGCCAAGGTTGAGAAACACTGGTTTAGCATGTTGGGTGAATCCAGGTGGAGGATGTTCTAAAAGTGAGAGATGCACGCACACACACACACAAAGAGGATGGAGTTGTAAAAGGGAGGCTCAAAAGGAACGGAGGTGCAGGCGGTGACAATTGCCCCCCGAAATGACCGTTCACAAAACTCCTGCTGAAGGCGAGGCAGACCGCCTTTGCACCGGTGATCTACGAGAAGCCATAAAGACAGATTCAGGTTTCACCCAGCAAGGTTATAGTTCTGTACGGTCCCATACGAAGAGGGGAATCGCGGTCTCTGGATATTGTAAAAGCGTAATTCCAAGCGATCACCGTGTTCTGTAAATATTTCCTAACAGTGTTTCCACCGCAGACAGCACCCACATTCGGCCTATTTCGGTTTCTCTCCAAGCCAAATGGATTTTTCTTTCCTGGCCTCGGGGCATGACAATCGTCTGCCCCGTGGAAAAGCTCCTGGGATTTGTTGCTGGTTTGTGTAATGTTTAAAAATATATATATATAGGTACGATCTTTTTTATTTGCAGTCATTCGGGAACGAGAGAGCCCTGGGTTCGATCCTCTTCTACGTGATGTCCTTCTGGGTATTTGAAAAGGGCAGTTATATCCCCCTCCGTTTCCTCTGCTTTAATACTTTCCGTAGGACTTTAATGTCCATTTTCCTGATTAACCACCATGCCCTTCTCATTCTTTCTTTCTCCGTCTCCAAGTGTGGGCAGAAAACCAGGTTTAAGCTGCGGGGGGACCCCTGCAGAATCATACGGAACAATTACTTCCCGTAGTTTGGAAGCTAAACTTCAGTTAACGGAGCTGAAAAATCGGATTTGCCTTCTTGGTTGCTGCTTCACGCCGCTGGCTCATGTGGTTTGTGGTCCACTACTAAGATCTTCTTCCGAAGTATAGTAACCGAGCCAGAAGTGCGCACCGTTGCATGTATCATTGTTCGATTTCCTTCTGTTACTCTCAGCTCATTTCTCTGACCGATCATTGTGTCTTTCTTCTGAGTAATCGCCATCCTACCTTGGTGGGGCTCGTCTGCAGACTGGATAGTCTCTGGATCCCTAGCTCCTCACCGGAGACCCTTTTCTGGATACTCTGCTATGCTGGTTGCAGTGGGGAACTGCTGGGGGGGCTTTTTAATGCACTAAGACTCTACTACAGTGTTTCTCAACCTCGGCAGCTTGAAGATGGGTGGACT